GGCTCAGGTTATCCTGAGCTATCTCTATTGTTATGCTGCTATAGGCTTAGACTGCTGGAGGACATAGGGACCCCCTTTTTCATCATTCTGCTTCATTCTATCTCTATTCTCCCACTCTGCAGAATCTGCTCTCTCTGCTTTTAATTATAGTAGCTTCATATGGTCTGTTCCTGTTTGTCTGTGACTCCATCAATTCAATTCAATATAGTTTATTTCTATAGCGCAAATTCACAACACATGTCATCTCAAGGCACTTTACTGTTCACCAGATCATCCAGTCAAACGATTGATTCAAAGTTTTCCATCTAAGGAAAACCAGTTGATTGCATCGACTCATTGACTCTCTGCTTTTTCTCATCATAGTAGCTTCATCTGGTCTATTCCTGTTTGGCTGTGACTCCATCCGCCATCTGTTGAGGCCGACTGGGGTTCAAGGAGACAGAAGTAGATGGAGTAAACCAATGAAACCAAACCTAATACACTATAATATTGTATTGACCATCATCCAGTCAGATTGATTCAAAGTTTTCTATCTAAGGAAAACCAGTTGACAGCATTGACTGATTGACACAAATGCAATCCCTCACACTAAGCATGCTTGTAGAGACAGTGGAGAGGAAAAACTCCCTTTTTCCAGCTGAACCAGGCTCAGTGTGAGCGGCCATCTGCTGAGACTGACTGGGGTTCAAGGAGACAGAAGCAGACATAGAAAAAGAAGCACAGATAAAAAAAAAAGGCAACTGTAAAAGGCGACCCTGTCCAGGAAACACACAGCCAGGCAGATGAACTCCCACCCAGATCTCATGTCAAGGGATGAAGAGAGCACATCCAGCCAGTCACATTCAGAGAGCTCCCAAGCTCCAACATCTATAAACAAAGGTGTTGATGGCAGCAGCACAGCTGATATTTCTCTCCAGGACTTTCAGAGTTAGCCAACCTGTTGTCTTCATCTAAGCCTTCAACTTGGATGTTAGATCCAGTTCTAACCAGGTTATTTAAGGAGGTATTCCCTTTGATCTCCTCCTCCATTTTAGATGTGATTAATCTATCTCTGTTACAGGGATATGTACCTAAAGCTTTTAAGGTTGCTG